CTCTGAGAAAGCAAAAGGCTCATGAAAGTAGCCAGACCTTCTATAGGTTGAGACAAGGGGGTGGAAGGAGCTGCCATTTCCTCCCTTCCCGTTTGACTTATACTATCTTGCTTCCTTCTGTTACTGACAGGATCAACGTCCCCAGCCTCTTTCAATCCTTTCACCTCTATCCTAACTGATGCTCTAATATATTTTTACCGCTGACTCCAAAAAAAAAAAAAAAATCTAAACAAAGACTTATTTATTATTCTATATATGTCCGTGTGTATTTTAAGTTGTTTTTTTGTTTGTTTTTTTTTATAGTACAGGATTTTTAAAGTAGGCTTTGAATCTCCTAGCAACAGTTTTGTGTTTGGTGTGAAGAAGGGTGCCACTTAAATTAGGGTTTTTATATGCATACTCAGTTGTTCCACTGACATCTACTGCAACAAGACTGCTCCATGCTCTGAAGCTGTAATTTTGTTTTTTAATCAGTTAAGAACGTGCACAGCTTTCTGCTTTTGTTTTTCAGGACTGTCCATTCAGTTTCATTGGTCTATTGACCAACCCCTGCACCTAAATCTCAAACTCTTCATTGCATTCGCTTCTTTGTAATTCTTACTATCGAGTAGACTAATTACTGTTTTTCAAGAGTGTATTGACTATGCTTGACCATATGCACGTCTTTATATTTAGAATCAGGTGACTCATACATGTCCAAAGCCATTTGCTCATTTTGGTTTGGGATTGCAATTAATCTATATTTTCCTTTTTTTTTCCTGGAAGAACTAACATATTTAAAATATTGAATCTTCATGCCTATGAATTTTTTTATTTTATATTGATGTGAGTCTTCATTAATATGTCTCAACAACATTTTAATATTTTTGTCTGTAAAGTTATTGTTTTTCGTTAAGTATTTTTCTTAGATACTTGTTTTAGTATGAGAGTTTAAAAATTATATATTCTTTACTTTTATTTTCGTACTCTTTCCCTGACAGAAAACAAAGTGGATATACTTTTGAATACTGACCTTATACCAGAAAACTGATATACTATTATATATTGAGTAAATTATCTTTAGTTCTTTTGGATTCTTTTGATGCTCAGTAGTGTCATCCATTAATCACAAAAGTTTGGTTTCCCACTGGCCAATCCTCATTCCTTTCATTTATTCCTCTTTGCACTACATTTGCTACTACCTCTAGTATAAAGAGTAATAGAAAAACTTGTAGCAGAAACTCTAGGATAAGGACTAAGTTCAAACTTCTACTTTCAATATTTAAAATATTTAAAAGGCATATCTGCTATAGGTGTTGCAAACATATCTTTTATCTAGTTTGGTAACATTTTTTCATATTTCATAAACTTTATTTTAGAATAATTTTAGATTTAAAAGAAAATTGTGACAATGCTCAAGAACATTCTTTCACGCCCCCTAATCTATTCCTCCTGTTATTAACATCTTACCTTGGTAAGGTTCTCTAAAACTAATGAACCAATATTGATATGCAAACATCCTTTGTTTATTAACAAACATACTTTATTCACATTTATTTCCTTGTCACGAAAAACTATTTTCTGTCCCAGGATCCCCTGAGGATACTCCATTACATTTATTCATCATGTCTCTTTCAATGCCCGTTGGCTGTGCCAGTTCACTGAGACTTCTCTTGCTTTTGAAAACATTGACAGTTTGGAGGTATATGGTCAGGTATTTTGGAAAACAGCCTTTGATTGGGAAATACAAGATTTTTTATGTTTTGATGTAGGTTATGTTTCCTTGGAAGATGAACAGAGAAGTGAAGTGCCATTCTTATCATATCATACCGAGGGCACAGAGTACAAACACAATCTGTCATTGATGATGTTAATTTGATCACCATGGTGACGTAGTGGTTTACAGTTTCCTTCAGGGTAAAGTCACATTAATTTTTTCCCTGGGTCATGCTGTCATCTTGGGAAGGACAGAAGACCCAGGAGCAGCCAGTAGTCAGATGAGGCCTCTGAGGGAAAACTGCAGAGACTTCTTGCCCACAAAGAGGAGGATCCACAGAAACCAGCTCCCCCCTGTTGTCATCCCCGGGAGGCCCAGAGGCATGGTGACCCACAGGGGTGTCCCCTGACATCTTAGGGGGGAGAAAGAGGACAAGGCTGTGCTCTGGTGAGTCTCAGTTCAGATCATGAGAGCGGAAGATCACGAGGGGTCCTTCCTGGCATCCCCAGGCTGATACAGAGGACGGACTGGGGAGCTACCCCACTACGGACACAGGAGGACCCCCCAAAACCAGCCCATTTTCACTCCTCCTGGGAGGCCTTGGGCAGGGCCATTAGGGAGAGATGCAAGGGTGCTCCAGTCCCTCTTGGGGGTTTCATGGAAATGGGAACCTTGATCTGAAAAACAGTCTCTGGAAGGAAGAGAGAGGGAGTGGAGGCCATGCCAAGAATAATCGGTTGAGAAAGACGGAGAGTCCTTCCCACGCCATTTCAGGCGGAGGGCAGCAGAGCGCTACCTGGGGCCTGGGAAGCCATACCCCCCTGTGGAGGGATGTGATTCGACCTCTCTTGCACGTTGCAGGTCTCAGGGATGGGAGGGGCTTATTTGGAGGTGAAAGATGCACAGAGGCAGGGAGCCCAGGCCATTTCAGGAGTCCAGGCACAGCCTCCCAGGAAGGCAGGAAGGGAACATCCATGACCGGTAGTGCCCCTTATCCTGCCCCTGTGCCTGCTGCCAGCTCTGGAGGAGCCCATCAGGGTCCCCAGATTTACAACTTTCTGACTTCCACTTTGGGAGTCAGCTAGAGGGGAGATTATCTCTGAGGAGGGCAGCTTCGGTTAAGCAGAGGGAGTTGCACCAGGGCTGGTCACGCAACAAGAAGAGAAGTCTGTCAAGGACAGTGACCTCCCAACATGGAGGGGAGGCGCAGGCTGCACCCTGCCACTCCCTGCTGTTAGCCCTAGGAAAAGGTGGGGTGTGAGTGTCAAGGACTGGGGAGGTGGGAGGGAAGAGTCCGGCAAGGCTTAGGGAGTGAGCAGGAAGGGCAGGAGCACATCCTGGAGGTGGGAAGGAAGGGATGGAAAGGAGGCTGACAAGTGGGGGGTGGTTGCTCCTCTGAGAGGAGGCCCCGCCCCACGCTAGCCCTGCTGTCAGTCCTGATCATCCCCGGCAGGGTTCCCGGATGTGCTTTCCGGCGTCCATCTTGGGAGGCTGAAGAACCTGAGGTATTTTGTGACGAGGCTCGTCTCAGGTCAGCAGAGGGAAGAGCCTTAAACCTATCCAGTTTTCAAGGTGAGGGCCCCGAGGGAGAACTGAGGGACCCCCCCCACCACAGAGAGAAGCCCGCCCGGCTTGCTGTACCCCTGCCGTGGGACTTGTAGTTCGCGGAAAGGAAGATGGTAGCCGAGGGCTGAGGGACGGGTCCTCACGACAGAGGAAGGGAGGAGATGCTGGCCCGCTAGGGAATAAATAGGAAGACATTGAGGAGGACCGGGGAACCCCCACCTCAGAGGATGGATTCCCGGAGATTCCCACCCTGCTCCTCAAATCAGCCCTCCTAGAGCTCCCCAGTCGGCTCAGGCTGAGCGGCCGCCCTCTTGTTGCCGGGTGAGGGGTGTAGGGGACGGGGAAGGGGAGGCCTTGTTCTGGGGGTCCCCTGGCAAGTCAGCACGGCAAGCTGCCTCCAGCCGGCAGAGGGAAGACTCCCAGACCCTGGTGGGGACAAGAGTGAGGACTGAGGGGTCACATTGAGAGGTGACAACGTGCTATCAGCCCTCGCGTTTGGCGCCTCCTCGGCCTCGGCTACCGCTCTGGCGGCGCTTGAGGAGCCCTTCAGCCCACCACGGCGCTGTAGAAGCCCCTCTCTGGGCTGGCGGAGGCCGGAGCTGCCTGCCTCTACTTGCGGGGAGGTGTGGAGGGAGAGGCGTGGGCGGGAACCGGGGCTGCTCGTGGCGCTTGCGGGCCAGCTGGAGTTCTGGCGGGTACGGGGGCGGGCTCCGTGGGCGGCAGATGGAGCGACCAGCCGGCGCCTTGGGGCCCAGGGCAGTGAGGGGCTTAGCACCCTGGCCAGCAGCTGCAGAGGGTGCTGGCAGGCGGGCACTCCACTCGAGTTCTCGCGGGGCCTCAGCTGACTCCTGGCAGGGCAGGGCTCGGGATCTGAAGTCTGCCATATTCGAGCCCCACCTCCGCGGTGTAGTCCCTGGTGGCCCGAGCCTCCCAGACGGGAGCGGCCCCCTGCTCCATGGCGCCGGGTCCCATTGACTGCCCAAGGGCTGAGGATTGCAGGCGCCGCTCGGGACTGGCGGGCAGCTCCACCTGCAGGCCCCGTGCAGGATCCATTAGGTGAACCCATCAGAGCTCCTGAGTCTGGTGGGGACTTGGAGAACCTTTATGTCTAGCTAAGGGATTGTAAATACACCAATCAGCACTCTGTGTCTAGCTCAGGGTTTCTAAATACACCAATTGGTACTCTGTATCTAGCTAACCTAGTGGGGATTTGGAGAACTTTTCTGTCTAGCACTCTGTCTGTAGCTCAAGGATCATAAATGCACCAATCAGCACTCTGTCAAAATGGACCAATCAGCTCTCCGTAAAATAGACCTATCAGCTCTCTGTAAAATGGACCAATCAGCAGGATGTGGGTGGGGACAGATAAGGGAAGGAAAGCGAGCCGCCCAAGCCAGCAGTGGGAACCTGCTAGGGCCCTCTTCCACAGTGTGGAAGCTTTATTCTTTCCCTATTTACAATAAATCTTGCTGCTGCATACTCTTTGGGTCCACGCTGCCTTTAAGAGCTGTAACACTCACCACGAAGGTCTGCAGCTTCACTCTTGAAGCCAGGGAGACCACGAACCCACCGGAAAGAAGGAACAACTCCAGATGCGCCGCCTTTAAGAGCTGTAATGCTCACCGAGGAGGTCTGCAGCTTCACTTCTGTCAGCAAGACCACAAACCCACCAGAAGGAAGAAGCTCCAGACACATCTGAACGTCTGAAGGAACAAACTCCAGACACACCATCTTTAAGAACTGTAACACCGCGAGGGTCCGCGGCTTCATTCTTGAAGTCAGGGAGACCAAGAACCCACCAATTCCGGACACGACATGTGCATCAGAACAGACGTGAGGCCACCCGGATCACCCCCGTGGTAGAGTGCTGGGAGGTGGCTGCCACGTCATTTCGTCCCACTGCTCTCAGCGCTGTGGAGTTTGCCCTGAGGTTTTGCCTCAGGATAGCAGAGTGGTGGGGGCCAGGCCCTGTCTGAGAACATGTGACAATGCTAATTGAATGCTGAGGGGGCCACGAACCTCAGAACTGTGGGAATCTGGGAGTCTGGCCAGTCCCAGCTGACGTCATAGCTGGAGGGTCTCCCTCACTTCCTCTTGCAGGTTCTCCAGGAACCAGGAGTTGAAGACCTGGGTGTGAGGGACACATACATCCTAAAAGCACCACAGCAGAGGAGGCCCAGGCACTGCCAGGAGTCAAGGTGAGTGCACAGCCTGACTCTGTACCAAGGGCCCTACCCCCAGAAACAGGTCAGACCTGGCAGCACCCAGCCCGTAGCCACCCACTGTCATTCCTGGTGCCTCAGACTCTGCCTGCCAGCTGTGCCTTGAGGTGCTTTCTCACATCCTCCTACAGGTTCCCAGGAGACAAACCTCCTAGAAAGACAGGCGACCTGTGAGGCCCTAGAGCACACCTTAAGAGAAGAAGAGCTGTAAGCCGGCCTTTGTCAGAGCCATCATGGGTGAGTTTCTCAGCTGAGACCACTGGCACTGTCCCTCTCTCCCTCAGTCCTGTGGGATCCACTTTTGATTCCCCTCCTCCTCCTCCTCTTCCTCTTCTTCCTTCTCATGCTCATCCTCTTCTCTGATTCTGCGTTCTCCAGGGGACAAGCAGATGCCTGCTGCTGGGATGCCGAGTCTTCTCCAGAGTTCCGCTGAGAGTCGTCAGAGTCGTCCTGAGGGGGAGGACTCCCCGAGTCTTCTCCAGAGTCCTCCTGAGGGGGAGGCCACCCAGTCTCCTCTCCAGATTCCTCAGAGTCCTCCTGAGGGCGACGACTCCCAGTCTCCTCTCCAGAATCCTCAGAGTCCTCCTGAGGGCGAGGAATCCCTGTCTCCTCTCCAGATTTCTCAGAGCTCTCCTGAGGGTGAGGACGTCCAGTCTCCTCTCCAGAATCCTGCGAGCTCCTTGTTCTCCTCCACTTTACTGAGTCTATTCCAGAGTTCCCCTGAGAGTACTCAGAGTCCTTTTGAGGGTTTTCCCCAGTCTCCTCCCCAGATTCCTGTGACCTCCTCCTTCACCTCCACTTTACTGAGTCTTTTCCAGAGTTCCCCTGAGAGTACTCAAAGTCCTTTTGAGGGTTTTCCCCAGTCTCCTCCCCAGATTCCTGTGACCACCTCCTTCACCTCCACTTTATTGAGTGTTTTCCAGAGTTCCCCTGAGAGTTCTCAAAGTACTTTTGAGGGTTTTCCCCAGTCTCCTCTCCAGATTCCTGTGACCTCCTCCTTCTTCTCCTCCACTTTATTGCGTGTTTTCCAGAGTTCCCCTGACAGTACTCAAAGTACTTTTGAGGGTTTTCCCCAGTCTCCTCTCCAGATTCCTGTGACCTCCTCCTTCCCCTCCACTTTATTGAGTTTGTTCCAGAGTTCCCCTGACAGTACTCAAAGTCCTTTTGAGGGTTTTCCCCAGTCTCCTCCCCAGATTCCTGTGAGCTCCTCCTTCCCTTCCACTTTACTGAGTTTGTTCCAGAGTTCCCCTGACAGTACTCAAAGTACTTTTGAGGGTTTTCCCCAGTCTCCTCTCCAGATTCCTCTGAGCTCCTCCTCCTCCTCCCCTTTACTGAGTCTTTTCCAGAGTTCCCCTGAGAGTACTCAAAGTACATTTGAGGGTTTTGCCCAGTCTCCTCTCCAGATTCCTCAGAGTCCTCCTGAGGGAGACAACTCCCAGTCTCCTCTCCATAGTCCTCAGAGTTCTCCTGAGGGGGAGGACTCCCAGGCTCCTTTCCAGAGTCCTCCTGAGGGAGAGAACGCCCTTTCTCCTCTCCAGATTCCTCAGAATCCTGAGTGGGAGGACTGTCTGTCTCGTCTCCAGATTCATACGTGTCCTCCTGATGGGGAGGACTTCCAGTCTCCTCTCCAGATTCCTCAGAGTCCTCCTGAGTGGGAGGACTCCCTGTCTCCTCTCCACTTTCCTCATAGGCCTCCTCAGGGGGAGGACTTCCAGTCTTCTCTCCAGAGGCCTGTAAACATCTGCTCCTCCTCCACTTCATTGAGTCTTCCCCAGAGTTTCCCTGAGAGTCCTCAGAGCCCTCCTGAGGGGCCTGCCCAGTCTCCTCTCTATAGTCCTCTGAGCCTTCCTGAGGGGACGGATTCCCAGTCTCCTCTCCAGAGACCTCAGGGTCCTCCTGAGGGGGAGGATTCCCTGTCTCCTCTCTACATTCCTCAGAGTCCTCCTGAGTGGGAGGACTCCCTGTCTCCTCTCCACTTTCCTCATAGTCCTCCTCAGGGGGAGGACTTCCAGTCTTCTCTCCAGAGTCCTGTAAGCATCTGCTCCCCCTCCACTTCATTGAGTCTTCCCCAGAGTTTCCCTGAGAGTCCCCAGAGCCCTCCTGAGGGGCCTGCCCAGTCTCCTCTCTATAGTCCTCAGAGCCTTCCTGAGGGGACGGACTCCCAGTCTCCTCTCCAGAGACCTCAGAGTCCTCCTGAAGGGGAGGATTCCCTGTCTCCTCTCTACATTCCTCAATGTCCTCCTGACGAGGAGGACTCCCTGTCTTCTCTCCAGTTTCCTCATAGTCCTCCTGTGAGGGAGGCCTCCCTGTCTCCTCTCGAGATTCCTCCATGTTCTCCTGACAGGGAAGATCCCCAGTCTCCTCTCCAGACTCCTCAGAGTCCTCCTGAGTGGGAGGTCTCCTTGTCTCCTCTCCGCTTTCCTCACAGTCCTCCTCAGGGGGAGGACTCCCAGTCTTCTCTCCAGAGTCCTGTGATTATCTGCTCCTCCTCCACTTCACTGAGTCTTCCCCAGGATTTCCCTGAGAGACCTCAGAGACCCCCTGAGGGGCCTGCTCAGTCTCCTCTCCAAAAACCTCTCAGGTCTTTCTCCTACACTTTAGCGAGTCTTCTGCAGAGTTCCCATGGGAGTCCTCAGAGTCCGCCTGAGGGGCCTGCCCAGTCTCCACTCCAGAGACCTGTCAGCTCCTTCTCATCCACTTCACTGAGTCTTTCCCAGAGTTCTCCTGAGAGTCCTCCTGAGGGTCCTGCGCAGCGTCCTCTTCAGAGTCCTGTGAGCTCTTCCTCCTCCACTTCATTGAGTCTTTCCCAGAGTTCCCCTGAGAGTCCTCAGAGTCCTTCTGAGGGGCCTGCCCAGTCTCCTCTCCAGAGTGCTGTGAGCTCCTTCTCCTCCTCCACTTCCTTAAGCCCAGTCAGTGAAGAGTCCAGCAGCCCAGTAGATGAAGATACAAGCACCTCAGACACCTTGCTAGAGAGCGAGTCCTTGACAGACAGTGAGTCCTTGATAGAGAGCGAGCCCTTGTTCACTTATACACTGGATGAAAAGGTGGACGAGTTGGTGCGGTTTCTTCTCCTCAAATATCAAGCGAAGCAGCCTGTCACAAAGGCAGAGATGGTGACGAATGTCATCAACAGGTACACGGGCTACTTTCCTATGATCTTCAGGAAAGCCCGTGAGTTCATAGAGATTCTTTTTGGCATTTCCCTGAGAGAAGTGGACCCTGAGGACTCCTACGTCTTTGTAAACACATTAGAGCTCAGCTGTGAGGGGAGTGTGAGTGATGAGCAGGGCGTGCCCCAGAACCACCTCTTGTTTCTTGTTCTGAGTATCATCTTCATGAAGGGCACCTGTGCCTCTGAGGCGGTCATCTGGGATGTGCTGAGTGGAATAGGGGTGCGTGCTGGGAGGGAGCACTTTATCTTTGGGGAGCCCAGGGAGCTCCTCACTAAAGTTTGGGTGCAGGAACATTACCTAGAGTACCGGGAGGTGCCCAACACTGCTCCTCCACGTTACGAATTCCTGTGGGGTCCAAGAGCTCATTCAGAAATCAGTAAGAGGAAAGTAGTGGAGTTTTTGGCCATGCTCAACAATACCGTCCCTATTTCCTTTCCACCCTCGTACAAGGAGGCTTTGAAAGATGTGGAAGAGAGAGCCCAGGCCATAATTGACAGCACAGATGACTCCACTGCCACAGACAGTGCAAGCTCCAGTGTCGTGTCCCCCAGCTTCTCTTCTGAGTGAAGTCTGGGGTAGATTATTCCCTCTGAGTTTGAAGAGGGCGGTCGAGTTTCTACGTGGTGGAGGGCCCGGCTGAAGCTGGGGAGAACACAGTGCTGTTTGCACTTCTGTTCCATATGGGTGGTTAAGGGATTTACCTGTTTTCCTTTTGGATATTTTTCAAATGCTTTTCCTATTAATAACAGGTTTAAATAGCTTCAGAATCTTAGTTTACAAATATTAGTCACACGTGTATTGTTATTTATCTGGTTTAAGAGTAACAGTTTGATATTTTGTAAAAACAAAAACACACACAAACACACCACATTGGGAAAACCTTCTGCCTCATTTTGTGATGTGTCACAGGTGAATGTGGTATTGCTGTAGGAATTTTCTTGAAACTGTGAAGGAACTCTGCAGTTAAATACTGGAACAAAGTAAAGGATTGTTAATATTTGCATTTCCTCAGTTCCTTTAGTCTGTTGTTCTTGAAAAATAAAGATACATACCTGGTTTGCTTGATTTATGTAAGAAAGTAGCTGAAAGTAAATTGTAATAAATAAAAATATCAGTGACTCGTTTATTTGATGACCATCATATCAGCATTTGCTCATAGAAGTTACCGTTAGTAGTGAAGTTACTATTAAAAGCAAGACTTATCCCTACCCCTAAAACGGTAGAGTGTAGCTACAGACGCCATATCAGGAATGTGGTAAGATTTTCCCTACAATCTAAAGAGTAAGTTTCAAAAGGAGTGGGGAGGTGAGACTCCAGATGGAGGCTTTGAGTAAAAAGGCTCTGAGCTAAGGCAGTTTTGGGCTTTGGGAAACTGCAGGTGTTTCTGTGGGAGCTGATTGTTATGAAGCTGGGTGGTGGCAGGGCCCAGTCTCTCAGAAGGTGAGAGAAAAGCCTGGAATGGAAAACTACTTGAGCAGTTGGCTCTGGGTGGAGGATGAAGCAGAGAGGAGTCTCCACATGGGGAAGTCATGGAAGGTGTCCTGTGGCTCTGTCACTGGGGAGTGTGAACACAGTACAAGGACTAGGTGATTGATCCCCATCATCTGCAAGGGTTTCCTGAGAAATGTGGTGAGAATCCCTTGATGTGGTGCTCAGAAGCCTCCGGGCTGACACTCATCTGCCTGGCCTGGGAGAGCCCAAGCCCATTCCATTAACAGGACTTTTATGTGGGTTATTTTGAAAGTAATGTGGACAAGTCTAAGCAATGTGTAGATTTTTAGTGGCGCTTAAATAAAACTAGGGGTTAGGTGGATGATCAGTGGGGAAGGTGAAAAGGAGTTAGTCCTTAACTCAAAGTCTACAATCTTTGATTTGTATGCAGCTGTGTAAGCCTCTCCTTACCTGAATGATACAATGTATCCTTTTAGAAAGAAAATGTCCTGAGTTATATTTATGAAGCCAAACTTTTCGTACAGTTCATATTCCATGGCATATTCAGCTGGATGTTCTCTTGACGTTTTGGATAAAAAAACATGAGCTGAATTTTTCTCAAAAGACAGTGGTAGACTCTGGGGTTATAATCATATTGATGACAACTGCCATTTATTAAAATTCCAAGACATGCCAAGCTGTGTGCCAGGTGTTTTCTCACATTACATACATTCCAGCAATTCTACAGCACAGGGATTATCAAACCCGTTTTACAGACGAAGAAGCTGAGGTTATAGTTCATGACAAATTCCCCAAGATCCCATGATGATCACATGATTAGAAAGTGACTGGGCTGGGGCTTGAGTTCTGAAATCATCTAGACCCACACTGTCCCCACTCCTCTCAGCCTGAGCATAGCCTTCTTCCTGTTAAGTCACTTCTCTTCACATTTCCTAATGTCTTCCAGGTAACATAAAGAAGAAACCTGTGACAAAGTATTTAGATGGGCCTAGAGAAGAAAGGTGACAATGGGAATCAATACCATTCAGGGATCGTTTGGGCTTTCTTTAGCTAAATTCTTCCTGTTATGAGCCCTAGGTGTCTTGAGAGCTGACTGTGTCTGGGTGCCAGTGCTTTTGTCCAGCCCCAGGCCTTTCCCACATTACAGCACCCTCCAGTTGATCTCCCCTGTGTGCTCCCTTGTGCAACTCTGGAAGCTGGCGTGCTGACTAACTTCTCACTGTGGTCTTGCCTCTGAAACCTGTGCCCAGCCCTCAGTGCAAGAGCCCAGAGACATCTGCCCTTTCCCTGACATAGACCACTGTGTGTCCCTGGAGAAGTTCCCTGAGTGATCCATCCCTCCCTGGGGCTCCTCCATGATAAAGGCCCTTCGATGTGAATATTCACTTTGGATAGTGACATTTCCATACCTAGGCTGGGCATCTTCAACACACGATCAACGTATTTCCACATAGGCTGCAGAGTAAAATCTGATTTGCCACATAACATACGGGTTTTGGGGATGTAATTCTAAGGTCAGATATAAACTATTTGAAATCTTCCTAATATTTGATACTTGTAGTATGATTTTAATGCGATGCATTATTTGAAACAGGGCACTGAACACAAACAGAGATGAATAAGCTTCTGTAGATGATCAAATGCCAATCTTTGCTTCATAAACTTTGTGGATGAGGAAAGGCTATAGACATCACTTTGTAAATGATCTACAAGATGGTAAATTTCTGGAAAAAAAAGCAAAACAATAACAAAATCTTGAAGATTGCCTAGGACATGACCAGGGTACTTTGGGGAACATGCCAGCTCTGATGAGACATAAACAATAGTTAAACATCTTTCCACTGTGTCTTGTGTGTGTACCTGCCCCACAGGAAAATCCTGGCTTGCAGTGAGCCACAGGCACATGTATAGCTGTTCAGGAATGTTCTGTCATATGGAAGGTAGCAGAGGCTCAAAGGGTAGGTTATTTTTCACACACCAAAAATATGAGAGAATTCTCAGCCTAAATAAATTATATAGGTTATTAAAGGACAGTGCCAAGTAATATTGAGGGATTAATGTTGACCCTCCCTGTGAAGACTTACAGAATTGTTTTAAAACTGTATGTAATCCTGTATTTGAAACCACCAGTCACCTTATAGGTGCAAGAAAATCTTGGAAGATTTCAAGGTTATGCAGACATTCCCAGAAACAATCCCAAGGAATGAACAGACTTACTGTCGTCAATTATAATAGTTGCTTTTCATTGAGCACCGTAATAACATGTGGAAGAGGCTACAAGTGCCCGCCTCTGTCTTGTCTAGCTCGCCTTCCTGGCTGGTTCATTTGTAGACAGAAACCAGTGCATCATTCCCATGCTTCCATTTCTGTTCAGCAGTTGATATCTGTTGTGACGTGGAGCTACAAGGTGAAAGCAGCTTGGATTCCTGTCTGAATTGAAAGCCAGGATCCGCTGTGGGTTAGTTTCTTACACCATAACACAGAACCACAGGCTGGGTGACTTCAATGATAGAATTGTATTTTCTCACATTTCTGGAGGCTAAATATCTAAGATCAAGGTGTTGGCCAGTTTGATTTCTTCCCTGGCCTCTTCGTGGCTTGCTGATGGCCACTCTCTCAGTGAATTCTGCCATGGTTGTTCCTTGGTCTGTGTGTCTGTGTCTTAATCTGCTCTTCTTATGAGGACACCAGTCATATTGAATATGATCCTAACCATAAGATCTCAGTTTACATTAGTTGCCTCTTCAAAGGGTCTGTTTCCAAATACAGTGATACTCTGCAGTACTGGAGGTTGAGACTTGGATATATGAACTTGGAAAGAGGGACACAATTCAGCCCACAACACCCTGCCAACTTAAATCAGAATTTATTTGCACAAAAATAAACTCGTGTTAAGCCATTTAACTTTCAGGGACTTTTTTCTCTTCCATCAGGTTACTGTTAATGTGACTACAGGAGTGCTCCTCTTCCTTTTCTTAGGGTCATTTCAATATTTGACTTAAAAGTAAGTAGTGCATGTATTTTTGTTGCAAAAAAATTCTAAAAGTACATAGAAATGGCATTGTTGTCTTTACAAACTTCCTCCAAGACTCAGCCTCCTACTCAGAAGTTCCCACAAGTAACAATGGGGCCGTGCAAATTGTAAATATGATTTTCGATTTTGGGCTTTCATACAGATGGGTGTGCTATTTTAAATATACATATATATGTACATATACACACACGTGTAATGATATAATGATATGCATACAGATCTGCCACTTACCTTTGCCACTATTATAAGTTCCGTTGCCTCGTCCACAAACTTCTACATTGAAATTTAAATGTGGCAGTCATTTCAAGATAGGATTATTTCAAAGACAATCAAGTTAAAATGAGGTTATTAATGCTGGCCTTAATAGAAGTTGCTATAAAAAGGGGATATTTGGGCGTAGATATATGAGTAGAGAGATGTCAATGTGAGTAGACATGGAGGGAAGACAGGAAAACATCCCGCAATCACAGCCCTCATAAGGAATCAATCTTGTGTACACTTTGCTCTTGGGCTATCAGATTCCAAAACTGTGAGACAATGAATTTCTGTTGTTTTGTCATCCAGGTTGTGGTACTTTGCTATTGCAACCCTGACATGCCATGATACTCACTTATTAAAATGTACCCAGCATCTTTCCATGACAGCACATAGAGATCTGCCTTACTTTGGCAACTTCTCCCGAGAATGTCAATTTATTTCTGTACAATAACAGACTGGACCTACCTCCTCCTGACGAACACATATTTGCTTTTTCTTTGTGGCTAAAATTAGGATAAATATAATCAACATATTTGAACATAAATTCTGGGACAAATGCATAAAATTCCTTATAAGGAATACATATTAATGTGGAAGTTGAATAGAAGTGAACAGGGTATGAATAATTTTATATTTTTAAAATGTTGCTGACTTTTTCCACCAAAAGTTTCAGCAATTAATTTCACTACACATTTGTTTATGTGAAAATGATTCATTTGTTGACAAACATATTTTATCAGAATTTTAAACCTTATTCAAACTTAGGGGCGAAAATCCTAGGTGAATTTGGTTTTGGTAATGACTTTTTTAGATGCATCACCAAAATTTTGGTCAAACCTACGAGTGCAAACCCTAGTTGACGTTGAGTTTGGTGGTGACTCTGTCAGATGCAACATCAAAAGTACCAACATCTAAGAAAAGAGATATAAATTGGACTTCATTAAAATTAACAACTTCTACTCTAAAAGACTGTGAAGAGAAAAAGACAAGCCAGAGACTGGGATAAATGTTTTGTGAAACACATATCTGATAAAAGATATATATTCAAATATGCACAAAACGCTGAAACCCAATTATAAGAAAGCAGAAAACCTAATTGAAAATAGACAAAAAGTTCTAAACAGGTACCCCACCAAAGGATATATAAGAATAGAAAGTAATCGTATACAACTGTTCAATTTCTGTTATAGTTTTGCTCTGTGTCCCCACCGAAATCTCAACTCAAATTTTAATCCCCACATGTCACGGGAGGGAGGTGATTGGATCATGGGGGCAGTTTCCCCCATGCTCTTCCCCTTGTAGTGAGTGAGTTCTCACGAGATCTGATGGTTTTATACGTGTTTCGAAGGTCCTCCTTTGTGCTTCTTCCTCCTGCCAGCTTGTGAAA